AGGAGGAAGAGTACGTGCAAAGACAAACATTCGGCTCAAATTAACCCTAGAGCATTGTTGACTTTTATTCAGACTTATTCCTTCACCATCGTCTCGTGGAAAGTCCTTGATATATTGCCTGCGTACTTTCTATAATCTTGGTGACGCTTACAAAGTCTAGTTGGTTAAAATTTAACTGGAAAAAATAGCGAAACCACACGCTGAACAATTACATGCCCACAGTTGAGTTTCTGATCCAAGAGAAACAAACTCACTTTTTCGTTTATGGTTAATTATTGCCATCAGGAGCTCCAGTTTTAGGCCTGGCTAAATTTATATATTATAGCGTGAGCGATGCGAATATGTATTTTTTTGAATTCTACTAAGATTAATTGACTAGTTCGCTCGATTCATTTGCCTGTTGGTTGCACGCTGACGTCAGTTTGTTTCTTTGTCCTTTTTCTCGGCAATTTTGTTTTTCATGTATTCTTCCTATTTGTTTCTTCTTGAATATGGAAAAATCTAAAAATTCTTCTTGAGAAGAGGAAGATAATTCTCTGAGCTACCAAATTTCGAGCTCGTCTCCACCTAAGAGATTTGCTAATTTAAGCGAGCAGGAGTTGAATCAGCTGGTTGGACAAAGACACTTGAAGAAGACCAAAAAAACAACAAACTGGTCTGTATTAACCTTTCGAGGATAGTAATGTATAGCGGCAATTTTAGAGAGAATTTTTCAGCAATTTGGCGATAGTAAAATTCAGCACAAGCTTTCATTGTAAAACTTTTCTGGCGTCGGAAGCCATTTCATGCTTTTAGCAGGGAAACCTTGTTTATGAGAGTTCAAGTTAACAAATATCTGATTTATGTGAAGTCTTACATACGAAATCCTTCTGTTCCAAAGACGTTAAAGATAAAGCTTTACAGACGTTTTATAAAATATTGGTAGCCCGTGATGAATTATTTCAGTTCTCGGGTTTCAGTTTTACTCGATCGTGAACTGAACTCTTGAACGGCAGGTCTTTTCCACGGGTTGCGGGTGACGGGTGGAGGGTAACGGGTGGCGGGTTGCGGGTAACGGGTGGCGGGGTTTTTTTTACTGTACGCTCTATTTCTATTTAAAAAGCTCAATTTCCTTTGTAATCATTCCATTCTACAGAAATTTGTAACAAAATCCTTTAAACACTAACAAAACCAGGTAGCAATACCTGAAAATGTCTACAATAATAGTATAATAAACAAATCTGAAACGGTTTTACTCACATAACGAGAAATGCTAAACGTACGCTAACATAAGAGGCGTAACATTCACGGCTATCTTGAAAACAATTTGGGCCATCGCCTTAGCCCCAAAAAACTCTGTAGAAACTCTACTATCTTACGTACAATGAGAAGCCTTTTCAAGCGGTTTGAAACCGCCGTAAATCGGACCGAGAAACATTTCGATATTTCACGCAGCACTAAAACCCCCAGATCATTCTTTTTTCAGGCTCTAACTCTTACCCCTCAAAAAATAGCTTAGAAGAGCCCTGAAGGACAGCTGTACTGAGGAATATTCAAAATGGCAGACAAATTTAGTCATAAACAGTAAACGTGGGGTGAAAGAAACAGTCCGCGTACGGTGATTGTTTGATGCGAGCTATTATAAACGTGATATAATTTGCTGGAAATTCAAGTGTTTCTAAAGGCAAATAACACAAGATGTTTAACTCGAAAGGAGCCAAAGGTTATGTACACTGACAACATCAAATGTGTTCTCCAAGCTCCACATCCGTATGGATGATTTAGACCATTTAGAATTTTCACTTTTAACTACCTCCATGGATATCTTGTAGAAAATCCCATATAATCCCTTATAATTCGATTCCATATTGTGTTGCTTCTGTGGTTCGAAGAGAGAGCTTGGGCTCCCTGTGGACAGAACTGTTATTTGCTGCGGTTCGAAGAATAACGGAAAATCGTTGTTTTCACGGTTCGCAGGTTTTTTGACAGTTTCCATGGCGACGCAAGTACTATAAGGGCGGGATTCTACTGATTTGAGCCATTTTATGCTGACGTCGCTGCCAACTTGCTTTCGTTTCGAGATTTTCACAGATCAAGTTTTTTCGTTAGCCAAGCACACTCAAGTTTCAAGGTCCAATTAGTCTTTGGATTCTGTATCAGGACGCAACGTTTTCCATTTCTAATTCTATTTCAAAAGCTGTATTTCCTTTCTAATTATTCCATTCTACAGATATTTGGAACGAAATCTTTTATAATTAAACACTAACAAAACCAGGTAGCAATGCCTGAAAATGTCTACAATAATAGTATAGTAAACAAATCTTAAATCAAGTACAATCGGTAAAATAACCACACCAGGAGCAAACAACACACGTCTGGAATAAGGTAAGCCATTTTTATTGAGAATTTTCACTTTTAACTACCTCCATGGATATCTTGTAGAAAATCCCATATAATCCCTTATAATTCGATTCCATATTGTGTTGCTTGTGTGGTTCATAGAGAGAGCTTGGGGAGCCTGTGTTCTGTCACGAAGAGCGAGCAATGTCACGTTTCTCGTTCCCAGTTTCCACTGTCTACGCATGGAACGCCAGGGACCATGACCCCCCTTTTGGCGACCAAAACGCTTGCATTTTAAGACTCGGGCTTTCCTACGGAAGCCCGAGCAATAATGTGAAATACTCATTAAATTATTTTTCAACTAGTATCGCATCTGAGTGGGTCTGTAAATCCTGCTACAAAACTCTATATTTTGTCCTAAATCCACCAATCTCCTATATTTTTTCCTTCTGAGCTCCTATATTCCCTACACATTTTTTTGGAAAATGGCTGGGATGTTTGGCGTCCTTGTAAGTGGGATAAATCCCTAGAAGGAATCCTCAGGGGCTGGTGCTATTGTAAGTTATGCGAGAGCCCCTCAAAGGCATCATTGGAAATGTCGCGTACTGGAGGAGCTAGCGTTCCTGATCCTTCTCAGAATCTTACAAAGGAGTTTCTGTTTATGTAGCTACTTCACGAACTAGTACGGGTACGGCGTTATCTAACACTGGGACTCTGGATTGAGTCTCATCTTTTGAACGCTAAGTTTAATCAGAAGTTCGGTGTGTACAAATGCGAATTCGCTGGGAGTTCGAAAGAGGGAGTGCCTCTCAGTCGCAGTTAAACAGTTGAGAATGGAATCCAAGGCTTCAATTCATTAAACTTTAAAGTCCAAAAGGAGTTTAAAAACTATCTGTAATATGGGGTGGATGGAGTGGACAGTACCCCCAAAAGCAGTGGAGAATTCAGCGCTGGAAAGAGTGAAAACTCTTTTAATGATCACTCCGCATTATAAGAATATTTCAAGGGCCCTAACCCTTGCACACAATCGTGCCAAACTCATGGAGAAAGCTGCTGAAAAAAGTTGTCTTTATTATTTGGAAGTGAACTAAGTACAGCGAATTGACTATGATGACAACTTTTCTGGCTCTTAGTCTCAATGCAAAGATTTGTACAACTACGTGAGAGTTCAGAGTAGAGAATTTCCATTTCTGACAATTTATCTTTGATATATCTGTAATAGCTATGTCATTACAGCAATAAAATCACGGAATGATGCTTCCCTAATCTACTAAAATAATACACGATCAGCCTACTTACAGGTTAAAAACTCACGAAAATTGCATATTTCCCTGAGCCGAACGAGGAATCACTAAATGGCAAAGAAATGGAAGGAAGGAGAAAGGGCATCAAATGCACCTGGTTCGAGAAAGGTTGTCCTACAGAAGCCAAAAGGAGCACGCGAAGATCCCGAAAGGTGTTAGGTGTTGTGGTAGTTGATTGATTGAAATTCATGGTGTTTCAACGTGAAGAAAACATCATGAAGTTCAGCGGTAAGAACCTTTCGTAATTGTCGCGTACGCTATTACGCCTTTGCTGGACAACCTACGAAGCAGCTGTATATGCCCACCATTCCCAATTGTCTTGTCCAGACCACATGTAGTTCGCTTACGCGTTCTGTGCATTATTGTTTTTCTTATGATACAATTCTGCCTCCAGCACTGCTCTTTCTAATTCCTTCTTCTTTTCATCAAATGGATGACCATTGCCACCCATCACAATGATGGGCTGAGTGCGATACGGTTGAATCTTCTCCACATTAAGCAAATGAAAAATGATACGGTCAACTTCTTTGGGCAGTCTATGACTCCACCGGGAGGACAGGAATTCTGGAATGTTTTTCTTGTTGCCACTGCATGTAAAGAAGGCAGGGATGAATCTGTGTACATCAGGATTCTGAGCGATCTGTCCTCGTACAAGATTCAACTGGCATTTGATATTCAAGGCTAGAATGTAACGATATCAAAAACAATCATTTAAGGTAGCTGGTGACAATTTTCAGCGCTTTACAGCAGATACTTTGACAGGTCAATACTACCACACTCTATCAAGTAATATTCCACCACTGGTATCACATAAATGCCCAATCATTGGTGAACAAGTTGTGATCATCTTAGTGGCATAATAGTTTACCATAGCAATGGTACAGCCTGTTAAAAGCACCCTTAGTTCTAGCTTCCAGCTCAGTCAAACCCATATTTTATTATCGAATTGTGATAAGCATGTCAAGATGTAACTTTTTTGAAAAGTTTTAAAAAATTATGTAGGTAGGCTTCAGAGCCGCATTAAATTTTTGAAAGTTTAAAATGATCCTGAATCTTACTGTTATTATTCGATTGTACCATGGAATCGCTAGTTTCCAAACCAAAGAATATAACTTTGCATCGCTTTTTGTTGCTGGAAGGATTTACCCTTACCCTGCTGTTGTGTCATTCGTTTCTCTGTTAAGCTACCTATCGAAATGAATTTGGAAATACTTACGATCATCTCCTTCTTCCACCGCGTTCTGACATCTAAGAGACATTTTGTTTGAAGCAAGAACTATAACACAGTGTGAATGCTTCACTTGGTCCTCATACCAACGGGGTACATTGGGTGCAATATCAAGGGTACTCCACATGTCTATGCTAGCCTCGATCAATTCCGTCGAATTAAGGACTTCACCGAAACAATGCACCACGAAGCTACACTTGTCGCAACATCTGGTATGCATGATAAAAACCCGCGTCTTGTCTGAAAAATAACAGAAACAGATTGTAAATTAATCTGCTGATTGATTGACTAAGAGACTGAATGACTGTTTGAGCGATAAATTGTGTTATTTATTTATTTTATCCCCATTGGACTTAGATCCAGGTTCCGCTGGTAACTCCTCGAACTTCATTATGTTACATATCTAAAATTATAGTAACAGCTTTTGTATATGAAGCTGCTAATGTAACTCTACACTCTTATACCTGCCATACAGAGTAGATATATACTCTCGAAATATATAACTTGTAAGTTAATACCAGATAAAAAAGTACTGTATCAACATGCAACTTACCAGACGCAAGTAAAGGATGATCGGAAGGAGGCCTTGGTGAAGGAGGATCAGGAAGATCAATAACCACTACAAAAGAGTAAAATAAGGAAGGCCCAACATTTTCAGCACGTTCAGTTCAACAGTGGTAAACCATATTCGTATTCTTGGTATTGGACTGAAACTAGCCTGTGTTTGAGGCTAATGCATGCGGGGAATGTCATTAAAACGAGATTTGATAAGACTCGCCACATTAGCCTCAGTTGCATGCTAGTTCCAGTCCAATACCGAGAATACGAATACGGCTTATTGAGCCTGTGTGTTTTTCTTTTGTGTTTTTTTTTTTCTTTGTTTTGTTTTGTTCTTTTTTGGGTTGAAGATTTTCTTTAGTACCGCGAACAAACCTACTTGCCTACTATTGTTAACAATAGAACACCGTGGACTTAGTAAACTGTTTGTAAATACTATAAACTAAGAACATTACCTTGCCGGAAGAAAATCCTGTACATCACAAGAAGGCCAAAAATGAGAAATCCAAGAACAGCACCAAAAGCAGCCATCATAATTTTCTTAGAATTATCTGAAGAAGGAAGTGAGTCGGCAGCATTCAAACAACACAGCCGTGTGTTTTGTCTGGTATTTTTGCTTACAATACTGCACATGGGTTCTACCAAATATTGTTGCTGATTACAGAACAATGAACTACACGTGTAAGTGAATTAAAGATCAATAGATCTTTTTCGCTTGGGCAGTTTGGTTTCCCATTACAGACCACGCGATATTCTCTAGAGAATTGTTCTTTTATCCAGCTAAAAATTATTTATTATTATGCACACGGCTATTTGAAAATTTGACAGCAAGAATTCTCAAGAGTATCATCACATGGTATGAAATGGGGCAACAAACCGCCCAGTCGAAAAAGGTCTATTAGGATCTACAAAAGAAAACCTTTTCCTGTAGTTAATTCCATTTCATATCACAGGCCCTCTTAATAGCCAACAAGCATTGTTTTTTAAGAACAAAGGTCATGTAAACAGAGAATGTCCCCCGTCTATATGCCATACAAGTCATGCGTATTTATGTGAAATAAGTGTGCAACAGTTAACGCTGCCACTGGATAATTATCCAATGCACTGGATAGCGATTTATCTAGTAGATATCGTTGCCCATTTCGTCAACTCGCTTCCACAGGATAATGATTTATCCCGTGGACAGCGCTATTAAGCCTTTTACTATCGCCGTTCAGGTTTAAGTCCCCAGGACTCACATTCAGTGTAGACAACTCAAGGAAACTTGAAGGCAACTTCATTTGATATTGACCTTAGCGCAGTGCCCATAAATGACTAGCAGGTGCCCGTAAATTCCAAAGCTATCATGTACATATGCACTTTTATCTAGAAATGTGGTTAGCCTCAACTCAATAGTGTTCCCGCACTGGTGTTCCCCCAGGCCTGTTTGCGATAACCTATTATTAGTGGTAATGATGACACCATGTAATTTAAGAATTGTATTTTTTCCCTCTTTTTACGCACTTTTTACAGAACTTTTGTCTGAGTGCCACTGATTTAATCTATTTAGTCTGATTCTTTCACAAACTCCATCCCAGTTTGGAGCAATGATATAGACTACCATACGATTTTGTTTCAGAAATCCTCATCAGGTCTGTTATTGGTATTTGATGTCTTCGCATTTCGATTGGTGACGCCACTTATCTAAATTGACGGCTGATCTTAATTGAGAGCTTCGAAAACATGGATAAGTTTATTTATTTCTAAGCCTAATCAAGGCTGCCTCGAAATTTGAAGGAAACCAAACACTTATTCATCGCTTTTACAATCTCCTGGTTATTCCTTTCCATTTTCCTTTTTTTTTCCGAATCCAACATAGCAACGCGCGGTGAACTGTAGTTTGTGTGCATACACTGTATCTGTAAAAATACACTTTGCCGTGCTAGCCACCTGCATCTTTAGGTTGCGTTCGAGCATAGCTTGATTATAACTACCTCGTAAATATTTGAATTCAACGATTTATTGTGTCATGTGACTGGACGGAATTTTTACTTTCAGAATTTAGACTAACACCTGGGGTTTGGGTCGAGAGACAAGGGGACTGTGTACTAACTCTTCAGGGTAAAACTATATGAACACTTAAAACATTAAAATTAACTATCGTTTTGCATTGATATACACGTATTACAAGCACAAGAGAGCCACTTAGGCCCCACAGACAACAGTTTCATTGGGGCTAGATAAAGAATGTCTAACAGATGGAGATAAAAGTGAGGACTAAAACAAACCTGGAGGCTTTGGAGTCGGCAATATCGGTGGTGGAATTAACACTGTCACCCTAAACGTTTTGGTCTCCGTTTTGTTAGTTTTTCCCCTGAGCTGAAAAAAAGTGGTGCGATTAGGATTCTGACTTTTTACAACTGTGTTAAATTTACCCTTGCAAATATTAAATATAAAACTCTAGCAAATCGAGAGTTAAACACGAAAAAAACTCATTTCATACCTCTAAGTAGCCGAGGTTAATTGGTAATATTTTTGTGTAGCTCACTACGAATGTATTGCATTGTTATTATTACTATTATTATTATTATTATTATTATTATTATTATTATTATTATTATTTATATCATATTTAACAATTAGATTTTGAGCTCGAGAAAGAAATAGAAATAGAAATCGAAAGCGAATAATCTAATCATTTTAGTATAAATATACTAGTCCTTCAAAACTTTATCTAAATCCTCTTCACAGATACTTCGAGAACGCAAAGAAGCCGCCGTCATTTTGTTAACAACTTCACGCTACTAGGCTACTATCTTCAACAGAATAGGTAGGTGGCATTGGTGATAGAACGCTAGTAGATTTATACTCATAATGAATATGTAATATGTCCTAATAAAAATGAGCGATTTGATTTTTATAAAAAGCACAACAGTTTCTCGCGTCTTTCATTATACAAGATGACTTCAGTATATATGCTGTGTACACTTAGGTCACTTAGAAGTGAAGGTACCATCACCCCCTAAAGTTAAGCTTGCTTGATACTTACCTTTATAGAGTAGTTAAATTTGGTGCATTCGTCCTTCTCTAAAGGAATTAAGTATTCATATTTATCCTGCAATTGTAATTCATCAACACGCACAAAATTAGCGCTACTCGCCATAACATACAAGGTGCAAGGCGTCTGAGCTGGCGCTTGACTGCAGCTGTTTTAATGACCTTTAAAGGCCAGTAAGACATTGCAATGAGGTGTTTTACCTCCTAAAATGAATTGCATCACTTGCATGTGGACAAAGATGCTTCAAGGAAAACCTGAACTAGAAGCTATCTGACATAATAAATTGTAAAGCCTTATTCAAAAAGCCACCAGCATAAGTGGATCTGACTGAGATTCCTGGACGTTTTCTCGGAAAAGGAGGGAGGCTGGTATAAAAGACCTTTTTAGCTAGGGCGGTTTGTTGCCCCATTTCACACAATGTGATGGTACTCTTGAGAATTCTTGCTTTCAAATTTTCAAATGGTCGCGTGTATAGGAATGAATAATTTTGAAATGGATAAAAGAACCATTCTCTGGATAATATCTCGTGGTCTGTAATGGAAAACAAAACCACCCACACTAAAAAGGTCTATTCCCAGTCATCCTCAAATGCCAACGTTAGAATTGATTGGGTTTAATGCATTACAGTTTCGTTCGCATTTCAACCACATGCATTCATTGTTTTATGTTCTCCTCAAGTTTTCAATGTACGTTTTAGTTATCCCATCTCCTGAATGCCCAGTTCTATATTTTCTATTTTTTCAATGAGAATCTGAAACAGTCCAACTGATCATCCGTGTGTCCACTGGATGCAAAAAGAGCAAAAAAGACACTAAGTCCATCCCCTCGAGATAACAACCTAGCACAGAGTGCGACTGGTGCCTCTGAAATAAACAATATACATCCTGTCCTGAGGACTTCAATCTTGTAGTAATCCGCAATTTGGAAGTCTCAGTTACCAAACTCAGCATCAGCTTCATTGCGAGGTACAACAGTTTCAACATCCGCCCCTAGCATGTCTGCTAGTTCAATACAAGAACCTGAATTCCAAACAGAACTTCCAGGAGCAGACCAAGCAAACACCACAGCAACCCATCATGCCGGAAAATGTGGTGACTAGATTCTGCTGACCTACGTAGACTTCAACAAACATGTGGCTACAAGTACGACATTCTGTCGACCAAGCCAGCAGTGTTACGAGCCAGAAATCACGTTTCCAGTATGAAAGTAATTCCCTCTCTATATGGCCTTCAGACTTGAAAGAACACAAAAAGATAACTGTATTAGATTACTGACACCGACGTAGGGATCAAGCCAAATATCGAAATCGTGATTTTCAATCACGCAAGCCAGAAATTCATTTCTTCGGGGTCTACTAGTACAACATGCACTTTCCCCAAGACTCTGAAGAATTAGGGCAAGCTCCTTTGACATGTTTCGTCAATGTCTATATGTCGTGGTCCTCAATGCCACCACCATAAGGAAATATGTTAAGCAATGATTCCTTGCAAGACCTTCAATCCGAAGACCAAAGAGAGTCCCTTTTTCCACAATTCACAGTGGACATATCTGCACAGAAAAAGACCCAGTTGGGAGAATAAAGACCTCATTTTATTTTATAAGTACTGAGATTTATCCACAGAGATGACAGTAATGAAAAAATCGTTCTGTTTTTAGTCGCAGCCAATCAGCGACGCGAACGATGAAATTTCACTGGTGAAAAATCATCGTTCGCGGCGTCTGATTGGACGAACGATGTTATTCACTAGTGAGAAGTGATCGTACAGCAAGCCACGTCATCCTTGGCGCGAAAACTGGCAAGCCGCCTTTTTATTTTCAAGATGTCGCAAAGGTTTGTGGCCGTGGACGTCGGTTCAGTTGACAATTTTATTGCAGAACAAGAAAACAAAGCCACATTACAAAAAACACAACAAGATGTGAAACTTTTGCAAACCTTTTTAGGAACCAGGGTTGAACTTAGAAAAGTTGAAATTCCAGCATTGGAGTTAAACGAATACATCTGCGAGTTTATCATTTCGGTCAGAACCAAAGATGGGAAAGACTATGAGCCTTCTTCGCTCCGAAGT